TTTTCGGTACATGTTCAGAGGTTCGTTTTGTAAGGATCCTCTCCGTTCTTCCGACATATATGCAGCTACAAGTACAGGTGAACGAAATAAATACAATTGGAGGTAACATGAGGAGGTTTCATATCTAAATCAGTTTCTCCAATCAAGTTTTTCGAGTCGTAGACAACTGGATAAGTTAGTGCGATGCGTGGATTCAATCGGCGATTATTTTGTGAACTCGATTCATGCTGTTTACAAGAATTGGTCTAATATCAAGAAATATTAGGCAACCATCCATTTCCTTCCTCAAGCTTAATCGATTTGTTTGAATTTAGCATTCAGACACTAGGTTCTCACCAGGTCACATAGTACTTGTGACCTATCAAGCCTGGATACCATCTGCTCACAATTTAGTAAAGCACAAGTAATAGTGTCATGGTATAAAACTCAGTTAGGTGTAGAGCAACAGACCAATAAATGATTTCCCTACGATAGATATGTCTAGCCTTCTTGTCCACTGAATCCCAGCATTTAACAGCAAGATGTACGCCAGTTGTCGAACGAATTTCAAAAGCTTTTCAACACGAAAAACTGTGGAAACATGCTTGTTATTCCTGACTTCTATTTCAATACTGATGAATTTTAGAATCAGTTATTAACTCCTTTAATTTCCTTAGATCTGTTGCATAAACTGTGCTTATTAGATCTGCCGTCGATTTCACTTGCTTAAACTTATGAACATCATATCTTGATTTTGCTAGTGGAATACATAGACACGTTTCATAAATCTTGTGTACTTCCTTTTTGTGATTCTTCGAATGTTCAAGATATTATGAAAACAGTTGACTGAAGACAGAAACTTCATTCAGCTGGTATGAGGGGAAAAAGGACATTGAAAAAGACTAAGCAATAAGGTCAACATCTTAATATTAATGATGGATAAATAAAACCCAACGCTTTTGATAAAAACGTTAATGACCTATTTGAAAATAAGAACTTATGCTAACTATTTCAAGTTACATTATTCAGTACTATCTACTATCTGACCTCCGAAAGATATCGTGGAGATGATTAAGAGTCTTCATGTACGGATTTAAAATCTGATGACTTCATTATATTTAAGAATTTGTCATGTTGCTTAAGGTGATTGTAGGAAGGTGGCAAAACAATGAAGTTTGGATATTCTTGACAAATGTTTCGGATAAGGAATAGTATAAATTCATAAACTGTTCACCAGACGTTCACGATTCTGAATAGTGAATTTTAGTCAGCAAAATCTATGAATCGTTGTTCCTTCTAATGTCATTTACTCATACGATGTTCTTGCAAAATCGAAAGTTGGAAACTCCACCGAAAGATACATGGTGAGTAAATCAAGCCTTATATGACCACTACTTTAACTCACAAAACAAATCAATTGGTTATCACTTTCGACACTGGCTCCATTTTATTTTATTCGAAATATTATTAATGTCAGTAGATGATTTAGTGAAAGACTTAATACCATTGTAGACTTTTCATAATGGCCGAAGATAAGTGGTGGAAGGTTTTAGAGATAGCCAAGTGTCAGTAGTTTGTTTTCTAGAAACGTTACCTTGAGATCTCTGTGTGGTATAATTTGAGTTTCACTCGATTTACAAAAAGAGGTTTATCAACAACCGGTTGATTTTAAACGTCCACAGTAAATCAACTTCAGCCGGAGAAATGCTGAAAGTTAGCAATTACTCAGCATCTGTTTCTGCCTCCTTTGGTAACTCTAAGTAAACTTCATCAAGTGGAGGACTGTTAGATCTCAAAAGGCTAAGTACAGGCAGTTTGTCTTCGTCAGTGTTTGTCAAATGATGACATACTGTGGCAACTTATCAGTGTTATATAAAGGCACTTGTTTTCAAACAACACGACTTTGTGCATCATAAATTGTCTTAAGATTCTCATCATGTATTCGTAAATGATAATGAGCGGTGATCTGACCGATTAAAGTTAGAAAGCATGAACCACCTTTTTATCATCCTGCAGATTTGATGACTCTATTGGAAGTTGCTTAGCTTTGCTAAAAAGTCCAAAAACAAAACTGGCCATATTCCCTATTCTTTGTATTTTAATTGATTCTGAAGTGAAATCTGATCTGGTATGGATGCTCTGAGAGTGAATACTGTAGGTACATGAAGTAAAAAGCAATTACTAATTCACTTCAAGTAACCTACTGAATCAGGTGAAGACAAAATGATTGATAAGTTACATGAACAGGAGTGAACAAAATTCAATCACATCTAGTAGGTGATAGGTTTGATGATGAAAAACGACTGAAAATAATTACATTCAGCACAAAATATACAGCATATGACATTTCTCTGACGAAGATTCGTAAAACAGTTCTGACAAACTATCACGGTTGTTATCCATAAAGTAAAAATAATTATCTCCTTTAATGACTTTGTTAAGCACTTGCAAATCGATTCAACACGGTTTATTTTGTTTCCACATTAATTCATCATTCCACTATTATCCTCAATCTTTCTACTGAAGAGAATGAAAAACGAAACAGATTTCATGGTTTCAGCTAACTGATTCCTTACTTTTCTGCTATAGAACTGAAAATATCTGTACTACAATACTCGAACAGCTGTTGTAGGGTGTTTGTAACATCAAACAGAATAAGCTGACTGGTTACATTCATGTTCGAGTGTTTGAATTGTGCTAAAGAAGTATCCGAGATTTACAGCAATACTCTTGTGGAATTTCTGCTTTGTCTGCCAGATCAAATCCTTACTTAGTTTGTCTCAAAGAAAACACATGTTATCCATCATAGACTAGTGTGTTTATGACTAACTTACCTAAAGAGACAGAAATGATGAGGCAGTGTCAACCAAAGGCTACTAAGACCCTCTTATTATCATCCCACAGTATTACTCTAAAAAAAAACTAGTTTTCTGTCAGACAGATAATTAAATCTAGTCTTTTGTCTTAAGTGCATCCTATCCAAGTTGTATTTTACTTTACTCAGCACTAATAAAAAACCCATTAAATATTCTTAAAATCAAACCAAATATATCAGAATTATGTTGCCTAAATCATTGGAATACGTGAGAAGCCTATTTTGTTCAAAAGTGAAATCCTATTGGACATTACTTTTTTAAATAAATCATTTTACCACTATAGCCTTAATTTCAGAGTTTTCCAGTCTAGTAATGCGATTTGCCGAGTCACATTTAAGTTTTCTCAGTATTCACGGCGCCTGCTTGGACTTTGGGCTACCAAATTAATTCGTTGAACATTTTTATCATATTCCTTCCTTTCAACCTTTTTTAATTATTTAAATATGTTCTTTGAACATGTCATGTACTCTAGCACATTTTTAAAGTGTTTCCAACTCTCCGTTTCTCGAGTCAGTAACAAAGCAGAAACAAAATGTTACGTTAGATGGAAAGGAACTTTTCGGTACAAAAAGTACATCATATTTTTATCCGTTAGATGCTTAGCTTAAGTTGCAGATTTTTAGCGTCTGAATCAACCACAACAACCGAAATTATGCTTGAATTTCTGCTGATGCTCTATTATGGATCGGATGCCCATCCAGAACCAGCTGGCTATTTCACATTGTTGCCTTGAATACTGTTGTTATTAACACCATTCGGATGCAATAACCGTTTCATCTGAAAGTATTGTTCTGGGAGTGAATTTGTTGAAAAATTACATGCTGAGAATTCCATACTATCATACATATTGTTTGGAATAAAGCGATTATGATTCGTAGTAGTAGTAATATGTCACTATTATAAAATTGCCGTATGCAAACTTAGATTTTGAAAACACCACTGTGCTCTATTTAGTGTATAGATTTTGAATATACTATGGCAACTTCCTCCTGGACATAATATATTATATACCAGTTCAAAAATATCATTTGTAGACAATAGCAATTATTATTTCGATACTCAGTGACTATTTTTGGTTTTTTCAACCAGCTGATTAGTCCAGTCAACCAGACATCAGAACCAATACAGGCATCGCAACGAAGGTTATATAGAAGTAATGTTCATTAGTGGATGACGGAAATACGGAAGCTCTAGATAGGTGTTTAGTCTTAGCATGGGACTCTTCAGCAGTTCGTATCCATAAGCCGAGAGTGATTAAGCCCACAGCAGTCAGGTCTCATGAAGAAATTTTTCATGTTCTGATCTCGGTCACTAATAAAAAAGGACAAACCGTTTGTTTCAATATTTATTCCAGCTTTCAAAGGAAACTTTAGTTCAGTCCGTTCAAGGGACATTTTAGCCGACGTGATGAGTCAATAGTTTTCTGTACAGTCTTTATGTTCGAAATCTTTGGAACAGAAATAATATTATTAAAATAATAATCTAACTAGGCTGATGACAAAAAGTCTATAATGAATAGTAACTTGACTAGTAAAGTCACGAAGCTTTCTTAAGTTTATTAGATAATTTAAACTGAAGTGTCCCATCCACTGCATAACTGAGATCTTGTCAAAGTTCATCAACCGAAAAACCTAAATCATGTTTACTCAGAGGTAATTTAGTTTCATATTTTTAGAAAAGAGATGACAGAATATTTAAGTTTATTGCAAACCACACGACTAGTAACCAATGGACCTAACCAAGTCGAACATATGGACAGTTATTTAGTGACGGCATGGGATGTACGTCGTGCTATATCCTGGACTGACAGAAGTAGGAAATATGCATCATTGGATTCCAACTCAGTGGTTCTGTGCTAACGTCTTGGCCGCAGAATCTGCAGGTCTTGGGTTCGGTCCCTGACGAGGTCATGGGTTCGCACCGCTGAGAAGTGCCATACTGGGACGAAGCAGCTGCCCAATGCTCTCAGGTTTCCAATGTTCCTCTAAATGACGTCAACCCATGATGGGCACCAACCTGAAATCAATAAATCCTTACAAACCTCAAAATTAGATTAAATTCGGTAAGTAAATTAGGTGGACGTTTCAAACTACCGCCTAAATGGAAATAATAAGCATTTCAAAGTTATTCTTAATGGCTATATAAGGCAGTTACAAACAGTCATTAAAAGACAACCATATGGTTGTATCAAAAAGAAATGGAACACCTTACCACTTCCGCATTCCTAGAAATGACAATGATTTAAATAATAATATGAAAGAAAACAAACTAAAAAATAATGATTATGTATTTGACAGTTTGTCAAGAGTTATGTTTGTGCTTTATCTTATCTGTACATCCACAACTGCATTCAGTTACAATTGGCAAGTGTATACGATACCAGTTACAGCTAGACACTGGCCATTTTTCTGGGCAAATGTAACGTAGTATTATTATATCTTTAATGCCTTTTTCATGACAGTACATCCCAGGTGGTAGTGAGCATGATATGTTGCCTAAATTGACACACTTTCCAGCTTTAATCCAGCGTGGCCAAAATCGTGGTCCCCAGTCATACCACATGTTATATAAAGGGCAACTGGTATAATCTCTTAAAAATTCTCGAAGCAAACGCCGAAGTTTCTGATTCTTTTTTGACTGTTTATCGCTAATTTGAGACCGTTCAGACCCTAAAAACACTAGTCTTTCTTGAGGTCTTTCCTCATCTCTTAAGTTTTGTATCAACTTCAGTCGACGCATAGCGTTCTGGATTAGAATGCTTCTAAATCCTACTTGATTATTCCTTCTGTTCCTTTTTCTTTTATAATGATAATTATAAATATCTGAAGACGATGGATAGTTATTTGGAGTTAATTTTCTGAACCTCATATCTTTATGAAGGTTTGATTCAGTTTCAAATAATTCTCCACCCTCTTTCATTATATCTGATGATATCAGTCTACCAGACGGATAATTTATCGCTTCCCATGGTTTATTAAATGACATGAATTCATTGTCAAAATTCTGTCTACCCAGTAAGCGCATCATCTCATTGTGGTTCAACAAAACATGATTATGAAATGGACGTTCATTTGGAATTGAAGGTATTTTATCCCTGAATGCATTTAACTGACTTTGATAAAGCATCTCTTTTAAAGTTATCAGATTTGAAAAAGATTCTTGTCTTAAGTCTTGCTGATTGTCTTTAATTCTCCTGAAAATATTTACACTTTCCGATGTCTGAAAATCATTATGATTCTGTAATTTTGTTTTAGCACTGAACGTACTTGAAGTGTTTAATACTGTCAATGTCATACTATCATTATCTGTGTTTGCTTTAGGAGTATAATATAAAATTGGTTTATGCATTTGATGAGAATTTTGATTTCGATTTTGAAATAAATACCATAAATAATTTGATATATTAACTTTTTGTGATAATTTCATAGATTTTTTTGCCGTATCAATATCCTTGAAATCACTGACGATATATGGTTGTTGAAATTTCGTTTGGCTTGAACAAACAAAAGTTAAATGAATGAAATAGGCTATCAATAATATATGAAAAATATTGTACACAGAATATATCAGTCTGTATTGCGTAAAGCACATTTCTATACACTGTACACATGAAAAATGCAGTAATAGTGGTTATATATCGTTTTTATTATTAGATAATTTTATACACACTTATTGAGTTTAGCGCCTTAATCTATAACTGGCTAGATACAGAGTATTTTGTGAATAACTTTCAGATTTTATTTTGAAATCTCACACCTTGATACTGCAGATAATACATAATTTTTTCTCTTTCACCTTTTAGTTATTGTTATTTAGAAATTGGTTTATGTGAAAATGGTTGTGTTTTATGGTTGGAACACATAACACATACTGGCCAATAGACTACTTCAAGCAATAAAGTTATTTAAATCTCCCTACATCAGTATCATTCCTTTTGACCTTGACAACCATTCTGCTATTAAAGCTAACTTGTTTTACTTTCAAATAGTGAAGAAGGGAAAAAGATATTGGGCGAAAGAGGAGAAAATGTGTTTCTCACTAACCAATAGACAAGTAACTTAGTGACATAAGCTTAATTTAGGCATGAATACTTACTCTAGGTGAAATTTACGCATGAACAAATGGCAAGATCGCTTACATAGGAGAAATGACATACTGCAAGATGGTTTCTTATTCAGTGAAGATTAAACTGATGACTCATCTGTTAACCAGTGTTATATTTTGTAAAGGGTTATTCAGAATGGTCCTTTTTTCATAATTTGATTGTTCACCTACCTGTTATGAAATTTAAAGAGACTTTCAAACCCAGAGTAAAATGATAAGGATTCATTCTCGGATATTCGGTTTTTACTATCAAGGCGTATAAAAGCACTTAAGTACTTTGATCCATTTTATGAGTAAATGTTAACTTAGAAGAATGAAAATATCAATCTTTCATCATCCCAATCAGCCAAAATCAACAGTTGAGGTTTCGGTAGGAACTAAAAGTGTTCATTTAGGGATTTTATGGAGACTGATCAAACTGAAGGTAGTTTCGAGCATAAATTGACGTCAGCCTTGGAAGTGTTGAATGACTTTTAACAGTAGAAAACTTTCGTCGCCGTTCGGAACTTAGTAACAGTATACACCTATAATACCAGGATTGCCCGTTATAACCTGAACATTTGTACGGAATTCAGTGATTCATGGTTTTCAGTTTGTGTCAATTCATGAAATAACACGATCACTAGTAAACATCATAAGTAGCCTTTCAAGCCGACTCCTAACTTGAATTTCCAAACAGATTACGCCTTATCGTTAGTGAAAAGTGCAGTTGTTGCTTCATAGCAAGAATCAGCAAATTTCCTGGACACCTAAAAAACTAAGACTCTGATTAAAGATATGAATGGTATGAAGGTGGAAAGTAATGTCATTTGCAGTATGCTCAATACAAACACCAACGAGTCCGAATAGAGCAATTTATACAAAATTCAAACGTTGAGTGACAGAGTGTAAAGTGAATTGTAATATACTAAACCCTCGGGCTCTGACACTTCATCAAAATCTACACGACAAGGTTGTTACTTTGCAGGGATTCTATACTTTCCCAGTATTCGAATATTTATGAAAATGAACAACATGAAGCATTTTACCCCCGGCGACCAATAAGTGTACCTTTTTCAGTCCTACAAGAGGTCATTCGCAGCATTATTAGATCAGTAGTAACATATATAACTGTAGAAGTGGATGAAACTAGCTAGAATTTCAGGTGGGCCATCAGTTGCGTCTAGGCTGCAGATTTGTTTTGATGAAGAGATTCTTGCCGACCACTTCTATTTAACTAATGTTTATCCTGGTGCATCGCGACGGCGTCTCCCAGCCTTGTGTTAACATCGCAAAAATGCTCGATGGAATTCCATCTGTACTTGGGACTACAAAACATGAAGTTGTCTATCCTTCCATGACCAATCAATTCATGACAGTAAGTTGTTTATTCACGAACGGTTGGAAATGTTTTCACCGTCTTTTATAGTGTGTATCTACATCACAATGAGTTCAGCGATTTCAGAGAGTGAAAACAGTGAAGTTTTGTTTGGTTTAGTCAAGAATTACAAATAAATTTTGGGCTATTGGTATTTTGAATTCAATTTTTAGGAGTGATTTATTATTTTTCGTGGTGATGTATGTAATTTGCGTGCATCATGCCTTTGACGAAGACATTACCTCTCTGGAATATCACAGGAAAGATAAAACTGATGCCGTTGCAATGGACAATCCCTTCGGTCCCGTATTAGGGACATTGAACCTAGCAGTGTGAAGTGTGTATTCGATGAAATTTTCTACAGCAGATATATTATTGATATATTAGATGTTTGCAATAACCTGAAACACCTATTGTATTTTGCTTGGTTTACTCAACATGACACAAACACATAGAATTTACATTAAGATATGAACAGGATAATAAGTTTGACTTCATTGATCTTGGAATCCAGCGAAATACTGACGTATGCAGCAAAAGATTCTTGAAGTGGAATGTATCTCAACTTCAACAGATTTTGTCCCACTGGTAAAAAGAAAAGGCTGATGAAAATACTTTTTAACAGCATAGGATATCATCGTTCAAAAGACACAGAAAGAGAAGAAATGAATGTTATTGAAAACAGCCTTCATGATAATGGATATTTATCGAAATTTATCAGTGAGTACAAAAGTGCACCGGCTAAAACCGCAAAGTGTATTATATTCGAGAAGAAGCTTGTCTTCCTAAATCTTGGTTTCAAAGTCGATATTGTTTCCAAGAGAACTAATTAAAGAATAAATGCTGCTACAGAAAGGACTAACTCAGCTGTTGGACTAATCGCATTCTGCCGAACGAATTGCTCACTGTGATAACCAAAGGCTAACAAGTTGGTTCTTTATATTACTTCTAATTTCACAAACTAGTTCACACGTATGTACCAAAGCATATATATAGGGCGAATAGAAATAAGGATTGATGGTCGTAAGTCGTAGCATATTGTAACGAATTTGCTATTGAAAAGTGGAAAAGTCGTTAACAACGCTATTTCTTACCAACTGATAGATAGTGGATCTGAATTCGGTGTTTAGAAATAGTTGGAAGCAAATAATAAGCAGATGAATTTGAATTTGCTGCGCTTCACTGCAGTGTTAGCCAGTATACAATTGAGACCGAACTTATGTGTTCGGAGAGAAACAGTTTTCGTTCCATCCATACCATGGTAAAGATTTTTGTTTGATTCACAATACTAAGGTTTTCAACATATATGCCGGTTTGTTCTTTTTGTTATTTTACATTTCACACCCTTTACCTAATTATCTGAATTCTACCCACATTAGTTCTTAGGTAACATAAATCATATGACCTTTAACATATTTTGCATAATCTTTATTAATACGAAGATTCTTACTTTATAAATTAAAAGCCGAAAGGAAAGGAAGTATATTCTTTTCAAATACTTCTCATCGGGTCCTACACTACCAGTTACAAACTTGGACAATCTGATTATGATTATAATTCCAGGCCCATTCTAAAACGCATTTGCCACAAATTTCAGTGATTCATGTGTTAACGAAACTGATTTTATAAATATAAAACCTGACAAAACGTTATTGAAAAGAATGTTATTCGTTCATATTTAACATTATTAATATGTTAAATTCATTCATCTCCCCCTTCTTACGCGATTTCTGCACTAGAATGCTCACATATTGATAAATTTACTATTCGTTCTGTGTACTTATTCATTGAACTCATGTTTCTTCAATCACATTATATTGATGTTACCTTTGATTTAAGCCGATACTTTTCTATTATACTGATTCATGTACGCAACCACAGGTAAATTGATGTTAAAATTGTTTGAGGTTATTAGCAGCGCATAAGAAATCGCAAAGTAAAATGGATTTATGCCATTCTGCTAAAGCTGTTGCTTTTGCTCTATTTAAAAAAGAAAAGTAATTTTGAATCGGGGTTCACGAAGACACTCAGGTTTTCCAGCAATCTATTGGGATGCACCTGGAGGTGAAACTTTGGAGAGGTTTCACTTTCAGTGCTATGGGCTGAAACTTCAGTTCATCCATCTTAGATACTGTATTCCGTCTCTGTATGTGCAAACGTCATTGTGATGAAACCATTCATAATTTTCGATGTAAGCCTATGGACAATTTAAATTCCCCTAGGCCCTTCTTACAGTAGCAGTGACTTCTTTTACCTATCGCACCAAGTATTCTCCCTAATTGTTCGGAAATTTTTTAACCATACGGGCTACCTGCTCGGTTAAATTGAAATAATGGATAGGATAAGGGCAGCTTTGTTCAGTAACTCACCCAATAATGTATCTAAAACTGATGGAATCATCCAGTCGATTACCATACCTATGGCTTTATGCTTATTCACTACAGTTTAAGGACAGAACACTCATCTGATTTTAGTCATATTTTAGTAGCCTTTTAAAAAAACTCCATCTAGATTTCTTGTTTGTTAGGACTCATCAGCAAGATGTAAATGCGTCCATGCGAAAACTGGTTTTCATTGGATATTTTGGACTTAAGTTACACAGTTCTCAGGTCCAAAAAGTCACCGCTAATCTCCTCAGGACATGGCTGACTATCCGTGAGGCCGGGTTATTTGTAGGAATGATTGAACACAAAGTAGCTGATGTCACTGCCAAGATCTTAGCGGTAATTAAATTCTGTTGGCAGATTCTGCATTGCAACCAGGTGAAGCGACTCTCTGGTTTTCAGGATTTCCGTGTTAGGTGTCAGGAGTCAGTCGACGAAAGTCCTTGCTCGTTGGTACTTATCGATAAGCTGTATCTGCAGCTTATTTATACGCTGCTGTAAAACTGAGATAAATCACTGCACGATTTTTCTCCATACGACAGTGAATAATCACTAAAGTCTTGGAAATTAATTTCTCCATTTTACGCTGTAAATGCTTTTACTGGTGTTATCAACGGTTTTTATTCCGTTTGCCATTTTAACGACTGTGTAGAAAGAAAACATGTGGTTAGTTCATCACAGTTGTAATCCAGGCTGCAATAATAATGAACCGGGAGAAGAAGGAATTACCTAACTTGTTTGAAATTGGTCGAGGTAGGTAAATTACATAAACCTAGAAACAAGAATTGGGTAGTGATTTAAGGAATTAAGCGGAAGCAAAATCACTACTACGGTCAGTGACAATGTTTACATTATAGGATTAAAAGCTATGCTTGTCTCTGACGGAAGTTCAGCTGCATTATAGTTTCGAACTACTTTGAAAAGACAAATATTCACTAAGTTTGCACTCAAATCTTTTGAGTTGTATAGAAGTATATATTTATTAGTATCGTGATATCACTTATATATGATTACTAATTAGTGAATAATAATTTGTAAGTAGCTAAGTGCCCGGAACCTCGCCTGGTTAACTAGTTTACTAGTTAC